ATACCACATCCACCACTTCACCCTTATCCACAAGGCTCGTTATCCTATCAAAGAAAGCTATCAGATTGGATTGCTCCATCGTAAAGGAGCAATAAAGGTCCCATACATGTCTATTTATCAGTAAACATTTAATCTTGATTTGAAAAAGTTGGGCTGTTCACAATTTTATGATTTATACTGATTTAGTCGATGGTGGCCAGCAACTCGCATATGTGCCCAGGCAAGAGTAGGCAAAGCGGTTTTTTACTGGCTGAGCTTATCCCTGCTTGAAATCATGTGTAAGAATAGCAGGAGCAAAATATTGATGTTAAAGCTGTAAGAACAGACAGCAGTGAGATGAATAATTATATCAGGAAACAAAGTTCTTTAAATCATGTTTTGTAACCTTGGCTCTGTCATTTATTTTTGCTTGGTTGGGATGTCTCTTAACTTTTCAGTTACTACGTAAATGGACGACACGCTACCAGAGAGGATTTCTTGAGCCCTGAAGTGCTGGAAACCTTTATTACAGCAGTAAAAGATGTTCTTCAGGTACAATGTTATGTTAAATTGTCTGTGCACTCAGCTACCATGATGCTGGGTGTATAAGAACCAGAATAGAAATTGTTGGCTAGCAATACATCTAAAGAATCTCAATATTTAGATGCCGTACTCATTGTAAATAATATAACAAATATCAATGCTAACAACATTTGATCTCAAGTTATTTCAATATGAGGCCTTGGTATCTACTAAGCATAAGGTTTAACATATTATAAACCATGAAAATGAATTTATAGTTATTTGTTCATGCCATCATAGCCCCAGAGATTAAATTTATGGCCAGATTCTGCCCCTTTACTCACACTAAGTAGTACCTTATTCCCAGAGTACTCCTGCTGATTTCAACAGGACTACCTACATAGTAAGATACTGTGTGTGAGTAAGGGTTGCAGAGTCTGGTCCTGATTAATTTAGATTTGGGAATCTATTATTTAATATATGTGAGTTTAAAAAAAAATTTTTTTCTTTCCCCTACTCCTGTTCATCAGAACTCTTATGGAGCCTTGCCTCATTAAATATGGTCCTATTAGAAGGCCCTGAAAGTCGTATGATTTCTCTAGAGATCTGTTCTAAAGCGCATAATTTGTGACTATTTAGGCAGATCTATATATGTACTTACTTTCCTCTCTTTATCCTAATGACACAACATTCTCTAGATTGTTGATGGAACTGTACCTGGTAAAAAGGTGTGGCTAGGAGAAACAAGTTCAGCCTATGGAGGTGGAGCTCCCAGACTGTCTAATACATATGTTGCCGGTTTTATGTAAGTAGAACAGCATGTCTTTAAAGTTACTCTTTTTTTCTGTAGGGCTCTGGGTTTTTCAGGAACTCCTCCAGTTAAACAACCACCATTAAATGCCCAGCATGTCAGCAACATTCCCCTGTCTGAGTAGGACTGGCTTTCTTTGGAGCCCCATAACACTTCTGCATGCAGACCTGAGGTGGTCACTCTCATGCCGGTTAGTCCCCAGGAACAGAGAACATTGATCCCAAAACATTCCCTGTGTGAGGGATCTAGCCAAAGACATGGTATTTTATGTTAAGTGCTGGCCAGGAAAATGTTTGCTTGACTTTAACACTGTATAGAAAGGATGGCCAAAATAAGTGTGGCCTATAGACTGCAGTGCAACCATTGTAGCATTCTATAGGGTCACTGCTTCATGTGTAAGTTTGGAAGTGTGGTCCAGCGAAACTACAGGTCTTAGCATGCTAACAGCAATCATACTGGGGGGAAAAAGTTCTGGTACTGTCCCTAGCTTCATCCATAGCTGGCGCACCCTCCACTTGTGATGCCAAAATGAGATGCAACTGACTGAGCAGATCTTCACCATATGTTTGTCTGTATTTCTTTCTTTTGGCCGACAGTGAAGTAACTCACCACACGGATGTTTAAATTGTTGCCACTGGATTTCAATGTTAACGCTTCACTGAAATGAAAGGACACTGTTTATGCTTTTCTCGGAAGTTAATTTCAGTCAGTCTGCAGACTCAGGCAGACATAACTGCATTGGTTCACGTCTGGTTCATGTTTTAGCAACCAAAAAATCTAGAGAATTATTTTTACAAATGAAAGTCAAAAAGCTAGAGCACAAAATGACCTCTTCATGTGAGGCTCCATCTGAACCTTATTGCTTCTGTTCAGGACAAAATCACATGCTGAGCCTTTTCATCTCCATAGGTTGCCTCTCTTTACTCAAGACGAAGATGGTGACAAGAGAGTTTAAGGAAACAGCACAGTAGACTCAGACAGCTAGTCAGATGGAATGTGAAATGGATTTTCAGAGATGCTCCTGCCATTTCTGTATTTTGATTTAGTTTCAGGGTTTTTTTGTGCTTAGGATTATCATTTGATTTTAATTCTTGTTTCGTGTACAAGGCAGCTGAGATGGCATGTAACATAGTTTAGATGAGCAGTTTTTTCCCCTGTTTATTTTGGCGACATTTGCATTTGCGTTTTTTTCTTTTTTTGTCTCCTGTTCTCTGGCAGGTGGTTGGACAAATTAGGACTGTCAGCCAGAATGGGTATTGATGTGGTGATGCGACAAGTGTTCTATGGAGCAGGAACCTATCACCTGGTGGATGCAAATTTTGAACCTTTGCCTGTGCGTATACAATAGCATTGCCTTAATAATATCATACATATTGTATCGATTTGTATTCTTGTTAAAGCTGATGTGGAGAGAGATGCGAGCTATTTTTACCTCCCTAAAGAGACTCACATATACGTGCCTGTGACATACCAGGGTACAATCTAGACTAATGAGCAGGTGTGTCACCCCTGCCCTGCAGCCTTGGGTGCCTTACGATGCCTTGCTGAAGTAGCTCTCACTTGGGCCGCTCACAATCAGCCTTCCAGCATGCAAGCCACACTCTGAGTGTCCATATGTAACTGCAGCCTGCCAGCCACACTTGGGTTACACTCTGGCTCTCACTAGCCTTGGTTATACTGTAGGGTGACCCCAACACATCCCCAGCCTCAGATTTCCCCCCAGAAATGTAAGTTCTGCACTGCCCAGCCCCCTCCTCGACAGTACAAATTATATTAAGTTGGTTGTTCCTTTAAGAGAATAATATGCACGCAACTTGTCACCCCAAATGGAGTTACTCAGCCACTTCAATTTAAACACACTGGATTAGATAAACCAATAAAACAAGTTTATTAACTACAAAGAGAGAAATTTTAAGTGAATACAAGTAATAAGGCATAAAAGTCAGAAATGGTTACAAGAAAAATAAAGATAAGACTAACACCTAATTTAACAAACTATATCCGATTCAAGCAATGTTTCTTACCGCATGCTTACCGCAGTCTGACTGACCAAACTGTGGGACGGGAACCCTCCCCCAGAGACCAACGATTACTTCCTTTGTTCATTCAGGTACAGTGAATGTGATAAGCAGGGAAAGAGAGAGGGGTACCTTGGGGTGTTTGTCCCTCCTTTTTATAGCTTCAGTCCCTCTCTTGAAAAACATTTCCAGCTGAGCATGGGAGACGAAATGTCAATGTGGAAGGGTGTTCTCTGCTGGCTTTTTCTCACCTGTTTGAGCTTCCTTTGTTTCCCTTCCTGCCTGATGACTCTGTTTACTATTTAAATGCAAATTAAGCAGAGCGTACATTCCTTTGTTTAGGACAGACCTGTTTGCCAAGCTGTGCTTGAGCAGCAGAGACGGACCTAAGCCACAATGTTCTGATCTAGATACAAACTTTCCCAAGTCTTCTGAGGAGTCCATGCTTTGGTTTGGGGGTTTCTCTGAGTGGTAAATGATTTTCAAATGTTAATGATTTGAGATGTTTCAACTTAATTATTTATGTTATGAGCTAATAGCATAAGAATGTTATTTTTAAGAACAAAGCTGTTAGTCAAAAAAGCAACAGAAACCAATACACTTTTTCATTTCTTTATAACATAGGGAGCCAGATTTATTTGGATTAACTATAAAGGTTCTGCTCTTTCTATGAGTGTAGAGCTCTCATTAGTGCTAATGGCAATTATACATGGATATGGGGAGGAGTAACAGTTCCCACCCTTCTTTCCTACCTTCCCCACACTTGATCTGCTTCCAAGTTGTGGCTGCTACAAATTTCTGAAAAGAGGGCTCATAATAGAAACTGGTGTATGTAACTATGATGCTGTTTTATGTATCCTGCTCATTGTAAGATGTCCCCCGGGGGCAGGGCTGTGGGGGGATTTAAGAGTTAGTATTTGTTCTTTCTTGTTTTCCTTAATCTAGAGTAGATAGTGGGAAATGTATAATTAAAGCCAGTTTTCTGGGTTTGCTGGTGAATCACTCATCTGAAAATTTAGATATTTTTCTATACAACAGCCTTCGTTCTACAGGGCAAATATCTTTCATGATCCAGAGGAAATTTATAAATAACAGGCTTATTTTGGAACCAGTCAGCCTTCACATGGTCCTCATACATATGGTTATGGGGAAAGAAACGAATCTGCTAAAATGGAACTTGTCTTTTCCCCATGTGTTTTCCAAGCCATATCTACCAAGCTTATCTAAAGTCTGTGTTTTCCCTGGCGTTAGAACTACAGAGCTAATCTAGCAGAAAGCGAGTTGCGGTGTATGCTGTCTCCTCTTAAAAAAACCAAACCCAGTTAGACAAAGGAACAGTGCAGCAATATAAAGACATGGGGCCCTGATCCTGATCTCACAGCATTTTTGCATTAGGATAATTAGTGACTTCAGTGGCGTTACTCCTGACTCTCAGTTGTAAGAGTTTGGAATCTATCTCCTGATATTTATAAAACCGCTTTATTGGAAAAGAGTGAGCTGTTCAAAGCAGGCACGGTTAGCGCTAGTTGAGGGTCCATCCCCGGGAAGTACTGAGGGTAGCTCAACTCCTGTTGATTTCAGTTGAAGGTTAGGCCGCTCAGCACTCTGCAGAAGGTACTTACCATTGTGCAGGATCAAGACCTGCATCTCCCACTTGAAGGACTCCTATATCCACCGATGAAGAGAGGAGAGCAAAATAGCTCTAACTGTACCTTCTACACTCAGCAAATCGATAACAGGATTTTTCTTTGTCACATTATTTGTTGTGAATTTGAACAAATTTGATATGAAGGACATCGCAAAAGAGAAACTAAAAGGAAAAGCACCAAGATAGCAGAAAAGGGACTCTCTTAATTCAACAAAAAAGTGCCTTGCCATATACTGCATTAGCTCTAAGCTGCACTAGCAGATGCAGTTATCGGGTTTTTAGTCATTCTATATCTGCATTTGAGAGTATTCACACTCCCAACAACTTGATGGTGGCAGCAGAGTGAATGTACAATCCGAACATACCGTGTATGTGACTTGCCAAGTTCTGCGATTTAATGGAGGGTGGGAGGTGCAGCCACTGGAGACTGAGCCCAGCGTGGCTCAATATCCATCACTGGATGGTGGATCTAGTGGTTTCAGGAGTCTGCACTTAGGTATTAAAAATGAGAGGCTGCAGCCTGCCCTGGTACATGTATATTGAATGTAGTCCTCAAGCTCCTGGCTAGTTATCATTGGGACCTTGTTAGGGTAACATTTTGGACACCCCTGACACAGAGCATGGTGATATTGTAGTCTAGTGTCTGAGTGTTCCCTCTTATGTAAAATACCTTGTTTGCCATATGGAAAAATGTTTTGTTTTTATATGCAACACAGGATTATTGGCTTTCTCTGCTGTACAAAAAACTGGTCGGCACCAAGGTACTGAAAGTTGGCCTGAAGGGAGCAGATCCGAAGAAGCTTCGAGTGTACCTTCATTGCACGAATAACCACAAGTAAGCATTTAAACCCAACATCCAGGAACAACTGAATACAGTGAAAACAGAGGCCTTAATGCACAATGAGCCCCTTGTAACCAATGGAAACATTCTGACAGGCTAAACGGGGCTTTGGATCAGGCCCCGCAATTGATCTGCAATTCCACAGTGTAACATGTAGAATGGGGAGGGGAGTTCTAGAAAAACATTCAGGGGTCTCTTATGAAACTTTCAACAACTAGATCCATAGGAATTGCTATAGTGAATTATGTGAGAAGGTATAGATGGTATTGTGGTTAAAGTCCTGGGCTGGGACTCAGGAAATCTGAGTTTTATTCTTTGCTCTGCTTCAGACATCCTGAGTGACTTTGGGAAGTCACCAAATTTCACTGTGCCTCAGTTCCCCATCTGTAAAATAGGGATATTTCTTTTTTCTCCCCACTACCCCTTTGGTCTAACTCTCTGGGGCGGGGACTGCTTCTCACTGTGTGTGTGTAAGTGCCTAGCACAATGGGGCCCTTATCTCAGCTGGTACTTTTGGGTGCTACTGTACTACAAAAAATACCACCACCATTGGGTCCATCTAGTCCAATATCCTGCCTCTTGTGAGGGGATCTGGAAGGAGTCTTCTTACCCTCCATAGAACTAATTCTAAGGAAATGAGAACAGTGTACTTGCAGGTGCAACCTTTTACCTCATCTCCTTGCCATCCATGTTGCTCCCTTAGTGGCTAAGGCACTGAGGCTGGTGGTGTAGACATAGCTGCAGATCCAGCAGCCCATCCCGTGTCTCCCTGTATTCTGGGATGTTGTTCATCGCTCTTGGTGCGCTGGGGGCACAGACACAAATGGAGTTTTGCCATTCACCCTCTCCCGGGGCAGAGGAACCACAATTGTTCTGGTGAAGAGGGAACGTGATCTGCCCAATTGTGGATACAGCTCCTTTCAAATACTATAATTTATTTTTAGTATGTGATTGTTAATGTGCCTCTCTCTTCCCTTTCAGCCCAATGTACAAAGAAGGGGATGTTACTCTGTTTCTTTTAAACCTCTATAATGTTACCAAACATGTGCAGTTGCCCCATAACTTATATAATAAGCATATAGATGAATACCTTTTATTACCTCATGGGGAACAGCACATACTTTCCAGGTGAGAATCTATTTTCTTTTATTGTAAATTGTACCCTCACTATCATGTAGATGAGCTATAAAAACAGGTCTCTTTTTTCAATTTTTTAGGATAAAAACTAATTACTTTGATTTAGTTTTTGTAAGTGCTTGTTTATAACATTTGGTCTCCTAAAACCAGGCACTGTTTATAAATGTTATTGATATGGTAGCTCTGCAGACATGTAATGACTATTATTGATGTTCTGTTTCTGCATCTAATATGGAACATGGGAGTGATGGAACATCACAAAAACGTATTGATCAAAAGGCTGCCTGTATCCAGGTTCAGTATTTTGGGCTTGATTCTAATCTGACAGGTTTTGAACACAGGTGTAACTGCAGTGATTTCAATGGAGTTACTCTTAATTTACGCTGGTTTTATTAAGATTAGAATCAGGCCCTCCGTGTTTAACACCTACTATTAATATCGCTAACACATAAAATGGTAAGGATCTGCATCCTTCGATTCTAAGGTCAGAAAGGACCACTGTGATCATCTGGTCTGAGTGCACCTCTTTGGGTGTCAGTGGTGCATTAACAGTTTCAAGAGAAACAGAAGCTTATCTGTGTTTTTCAGAGTACATTCTCCACCCAACTTGTGATTGTGAACAGTTTAACAACAACAAAAACTTCTACTTTTCAGTTTTCCTTAAAGTTACCCCACATAAATGTGTATCTATCATGTACATAAATACATGGAGCTTGCAGGCAGCTTCATAGATCTAGTAGACATGCTGCCAGTATCCTGTACACTTGTAAGTCTGTAAGGATGGGGCTGGAAAGTGGTTTAGCTACCTTAAAGCAACATAAATCTGCCTTAATGTTAGTGCTTTCCTTCTTTCTTCCAGTCACACCAAGTGAGCTTTGTGTTAGTTATGTGTTGTGTGCACCACCTAACCCAACAACCTCTCTCCATGCAGGTCTGTCCAGTTGAATGGTCATGTCTTAAGGATGGTGGATAACAAAACACTACCAGCACTTACTAAGAAACCCCTCTCTCCCGGGAGTACTCTTGGCCTTCCAGCTTTTTCATATGGATTTTATGTAATAAAAAATGCAAAAGCTATTGCTTGCATTTAAACATTGAACACATCCTCACAGGACGGTTGCAGGCACATTGTAGCTAAAACTCAAGTTTGATACTAGAGGGTCACTTTTTTGCAATAAGCATTAACTCTGGCAAACTTGCTGCAAATCTGCTGGAGTGGCAGCAAAAGCTGGGAGAGGAGAGGGCATAAATGCTATTGTGTACTGTGTACATGAACCATATTGATGTAAACCTGCAAGAACATTTTCCCCAGGTTTTGGGGAGTTGCTTCCTTCCTCTCTTGGGCCCCCAGTGGTCCACTTAACAGCAAGTCCTTCTCTATTCCGCACACTCCTGTCACGGGAGCTGATTACACTGTGTCTGCAGATCTGCCAGCCAAAGACTTAGATATTCCCTCATGGTCTAGGTTCTATAAATTTAAGCACAATTGTTATAGCAGCCTTTTTTTTCTGAGAGCAGATGAGGTTCATGAGGGCTTTTAAAAAAAATATATCCCACCCCCCCCTGCTTTTACTCGCACTGTTCCTGTAATGCTCACACAATATGGGAGAGCAGGAGACAATCATGGGAAAGCTACCACTAGTTACTGCAGGTAATGAGTTTCTGATTATTATTTTTTTGTGCATTAAGGGATGTTCAAAGCCCAGCTGCACTCTGTTAGTTATGTTGGGGGCGAGGGATGGAGAAAACAAGCGAAAGGAAGATGAATAAAGGAAGGATTATCTAAATGGAAGGAGGGAAACAGTGAGGAAAAACGCCAAAACTTAGGGCTTGTCTACACTTACAAGTGCAGCTATGCCACTGTTGTGCTTAGTGAAGACACTACCTATGTCAACAAGCGAGCTTCTCCCATTGAGGTAGGTACTCCACCTCCCCCAGAAGCACGCCTGTAGACATAGTGCTGTCTCCAGTGGGAGTTAGGTCAGTATAACTGCATCACTCAGGGGTGTGGCTTTTCACTCTGCTTTACTGATTTTTCAGGATAACTATGATCTCCTTTTAACCTGCTTCCCTGGCTAACAAATGTTATCAGTTTTGGGAAGAAGTTACCTCTAAACAACTCCATGAGGAACTGTGAATATGCTCAGTGAAGTCCCCTCGTGTCACTACCAAGGGCCTGAATTCTGATCAGGCTGGATAGTTTCACTAATTGTAGGGAAGGCCCAGAGGGTCTGACTTAAAGCCCATTGAAGTCGGAGATAAAACTTCACTGGGCTTTGGATCATGCTCAGAATAACTAACATGGCTGTAGGAGACAGCTGATTTCTCCCAGTCAGAACTGTGAGTCCTCTCCATCTTTTCTTTAGGCCAGCAGGGGTAAATGTCAGCTGGAGCCTTCTTCTCTTGGCAACCTTTCAAAGCCAATTTTCCTTCTCCCTTAAACTTACTGCATTCTTCCTATACTTTGACTCAGGAACTATTTATTCTCTCCTAAATAAATCTCAAAACACCAAATAGCAATATAACTTAAAGCACAGCTATTGCCTTTGATATTTGTTTGTACCTAATTTCTTAAAACCTACAACCTGCTACAATGCAAACTGTGAATGCTTATTTTGAGATATATCAGGAAAAGGTTTCACATGACTGTATTTTTCCTATTCAGGATTTAAGAGAGACAATTGGGTAAATAAGGAACCAAATTTAGATTGTTTTTTAAAAACCCAACTACTTTAAAAACATACAAATCACTGAAATATAGTTATGACATCTTGTTTAAAAATTACAATGAAAACAGATAATTTGTGTTCAACTTAAAATATTTCATTGCAGTATTTGCAACCCAAAAAGTGCACCACTGTGCTAATACATACATGCCCAAAAGTGAAATGGGCTATAAACAAACGCAAGACCGACAAGTCTCTTTTCATTCTCCAAATTCAAATGGAAGAAGTAAACAGACAGTATAAATTATGGGAAAAAAATAGGTTTATAAAGTTCTTAGTTGTAACAGTCTAAAGTTTTGAAAAACAAGTAATACAATTTTTTTTTTAGCCTGACAACATACTTTACAGAACCGTTCTTAAAAACCAGCAACACAGCCTGTTTGTAGTGACTTTTTAATATTTGCATATTTTAATAAAATTTATATTACAGTTTGGTAATTGTGGTTTTCTTCAAACTATCAGTTTAAAAACTGGAAACACAGCTCACTGTTTGTTTTAATGTGAAATTTTTATATTTGCACATTTTTAATAAAGTAATTTATATCACATTTTAGTAATTGTGGTTTTCTTTAGAAGGTTCATTTTTAGCTTATTCATATCTGTGAAAGGTACATCCCTACAGTCAGATTTTTTTCTTTTAATCAAACTTCCTCCAGCTATCTTTCTATGATTTCTCATGAGTGCAAGAGATAAAAAATAAAAGAACCTCACCTGAAGCACACAACCTTTTATTGTGATTTATATTTTTTGTGGAACACCAGCTGACAAATACTGGTTTTACAGTTTCAACCAGATAAATATAGAACAAGGGATAAATAACAGTACAAATGCAAGGGAGCATGGAGACAAGGCTTGTGATGTCAACAAGTAAATCGTTGTGATAGTTTCATTTTTAAACACATGGCCTCTTTCTTTAATAGATAATTATCATTATGGCGGTAACAATTAGTGATATTTAGAACTTGGATAGTGCTTTTCCATCTCAAAACACTTTACCAATGTCATTAATCTTTATAACACCCTCTGAAGAGTACTATATAATGAATAGGAAAGCACTATTAGCCCCATTGTACAGGTGAAGACATTGAGACACCAAAGTTAAATGATGTGTCCAAGGTTACAAAGGGTTCAATGTCAGAGCCTGAATTAGAATCCCAGGTTCTCAGCACTGTGCTCATGTACCTTGACCATGCCGATCTCCCTCCCACTACAGTCGTTGCCTTAGCATCTTGTTTTATGGTTTTTCCATTGCATTATAATAAACCATAGGAATTTAATCCAGGCTAAGGAATTGGTACATACATGAAATCATAGCTCATGAATTTTTCCTATCCCCATTATAAGTATTTTTAAAGAAATTACTTCGTTGTTTTAATACTCGTGGCATTTTTCAGAAGTATATAAGAGAGAACAGCATTTGTGTACAGCAGGAAAGATTAACAGCTTTGGCATGTCCCTCTTCTCCATCATCCCCAGAATTGGGAGGAAGGGGAATTCAGGTTCACACATCTGACATGGTTCAGTTAAGCAAACGTAACATAATCATCATAAAGTTCTGTGTTTTAAAGTAGTATTTTCCAGAATATAGTTATCTCCCATGAATTCCCAAGAACTTGCCTAGTCCAGCTACTTAAAGCCCACCCTTAAGCGTGAAGCAGAGACCGAGACTGGCTCTCCTTACATTGTATTGGGGCGGGGGGGGGGGGGAAAGGAAGTCAAAGTGTATCTAAGAAGTTTCGAATGTGAAGACGCTGAAATTTGGGGTCCTGTTAATCACAATGCAGCAGGTTGGTATATGTCAATGTTCAAGGTACTTGTGAAGGAAAATGATGCGGGGACATAAATAACCAGAAAAAAATTAATGGAGCTAGTCTCTGACTGCAAGGGAACCATTTAGCAACCAACTGCCTTATGTGATCACTCTCCTCCCTGTTTAGGGACGGTCTTACAACATTTCTGCTCTTGAAAAGATAGCAAAATTCTGAGTTGGGCTCGTTAGAGTGAGAGATTTTTAAAATGATGGCTCCTTTTTCTATGGTTTATTCATGTGAAGTGGAGAAATGATATATAGAGATGGGTGCAAATCCAAAGTGTAGAACCAAATGGCTGGGAACTTTGGGGAAGCATGACTCTGAAGCTGGAAGCAGTGGGCCATGTGATGAAAGCTTCCAGAAGAATTCCCTATTTGTGAATACCAAAGTCTTTGGGTGGAGATAGTAAAACAGAACAGCAAAAGTTCTTATTGTACCTTATAAAATGATAGTCAAATTAAAATTATTTGCATCTACAATTTTTGTACTTACTGTTACAAATAAATTCTAAGATTACTATAACATTTTTTTCCTCTTTTTTGCAATTTGTTTACTTTGTGCTGATGGTGCATGCTTTTTTTGTAAGACCTTAAAGAGGTCATTTACCAATCACAGCAGAAGAGCTGAAAATGAACAAATACCAAGCAGCATCTACCTGTAGGTGTCACAGTTCAGGGCAACTGCACCTCTACTCCACTTCTGTGATCCAGCGAAAGCATCCACTCTAGACTTCTGGCTTGCCTCGCCATCATCTCTCTTGAACAGAGACGGTCTCACTTCCTCCTGACTGGGGTATTTCCAGGCTGCACAGTCCGCTGACTGTATTCTCATATCTCCTGCAAAAGACCGACTACCTAAACAGGACTCAGAGTAGCAGCTATGTTAGTCTGTATCTGCAAAAAGAACAGGAGTACTTGTGGCACCTTAGAGACTAACAAATTTATTAGAGCATAAGCTTTCGTGGGCTACAGCCCACTTCTTCGGATGCATATAGAGTGGAACATATATTGAGGAGATATATATATACACACACACATACAGACAGCATGAACAGGTGGGAGTTGTCTTACCAACTCTGAG